TTTACTGTTTTCAACAGTCCTTGTGGGCCTTTCAGGATGGTCTGTGTCTAAATCACCTGTGAGCAGAAGTGGCTTCCCCTCTCTCCAGCCTGGACGACTTTTATCTCGTTTCTTGCCCAACCACTCTGGCTGGAACTTCTAGCCCCAGGTTGACCACAGTCATGAAAGTGGCATCTTTGCTTTGTTCCTGACCTTGGGGCAACTAAACATTCTTTGATTTGGCTGGATTTTCTCACTTTCTTCAGTGTACATGCACTACTCATACACTTGTGTAATAAAAAAACAAAAAAGAGATGAATCTCTAAAAAGAAGCCAATGCCTAAACATGTTTGGGTAAATTCACAGACCGTTCTTCCCCCAGAGGGGAAAAGAACCCAAAAAGTGACTGTCTGTTTTTGTTGTCAAATTCAGCAAAATAACAAACTAATGTCAAGTATGATTTAAAAGTTTTAACAGATGTACAGCCCTCATCAGTGGTACACAAATCTGGTCAGACCTGGGCTCCCCCACGAGGGGACCCTGAATAGAGAGGCAGAGCTGAGCCTGCCTCCTCTGAGGGTGCCCTGTTCTCTGGTGCTTGGGGGGCAGCACCATTCCAGGTGGGGGCAGGCGCATGGCATCAAGAAAGAGCTGGCCCACCAGGGATACAGGGTGAGTGACTGCGAATCTGTGAGACGAGCCACCGACAACTGAAAGTCCCATCTTCCGCGACGTGGATGGAACCGGTGATGATCACACCAAGTGAGGTGAGTCAGACACGGGGAGACAAACACCCTGTGATGTCACTTACATGTGGGTTCCCAAAACGACACAAGCGAACTTGATTTACAAAGCAGAAACAGACTCACAGACTCAGAAGACAGATGCATGGTGACCAAAGGAGAGATGAACCAGGAGTTTGGGATCAATAGACACACACTACTGTATATAAAACAGACAGACAACAAGGGCCCACTGTTACCTGTTAGTGTTAGCTCCCACTGCACAGGGGACTCAGTATCTTGTAATAACCTGTGATGAGAAAGAATCTGAAAAAGAACACATACATAGGATAAAGAATCTGCCTGCCAATGCAGGGGATGTGGGTTTGATCCCCGGGTCAGAAAGATCCCCTTCTGCAGGATTCTTGCCTGGAAAATCCCATGGACAGAAAAGCCTGACAGCTCATGGGGTCAAATAAGAGTCACATAACTTAGTGACTAAACAATAACCACCTGTGTGCATATACTGAATTTGCTGTATACCTGAAACAATGTAAATCAACTATACTTCAATTTAAAAAGGTAGAAGAGAAAATACTATGTGTCACACCCATGTTAAATAAGAATATTTTAAAACAATAGCATCAGAAACATAGAACAGGAATACCCTAACAAAAGATATATAAGACCATTATTCACACTGAAAACAGTAACACATTACTGAGAGGAAAGATTTAAAGAAACAGAGATATATTAAGTTCACATTTTTGAAGACAAAATTTTCCTCAAACTGACCTATAAAGTCAATGAAGTTCCAATGACAACAATCCTTTCACCAGATTTTCAGGTAAGATGACACTGGGGTATAGTTAAGAAAGTAAACAGCCGTGCCCCAGACTGGGAGAAAATGTGTGGAAAACGAGGATCTAACAGAGGTGTGCATCCAGGACACTCATGAATCCCTACTGCCCAGGGTCAGAATGACAAATGGCCTGATGGTAAATAGGGCAAAGTATCTGAGCAGAGACTTCCCAGGGAAGATATGTAAATGGGCAGTAAGTATAGGAAGAGACTGCTTGATGTCATTGTACATGAACACAAATTAAAATGAGCTGGAACACATATTCACTAGAAAGTCTTAACAGTGTAAGGGAGTGACAATGCCAAATGCTGGTGAGGAGGTGGAGCAGCAAGAAGCCTTGCATATATGTGGCTGGAGTATAAAATGGTTTCTACACGGGTAAACAGACTGGCAGTTCTTAACATTAAGTTCACACTTAGAATAAGTTCCAGAAATTTCACTCATAGTTGTCTGCCCATGAGAAGTGAAAACACGTGTGTTTGTACATAAACATAGTAACCAGAGACTGGGACTTCCCTGGTGGTCCAGAGGTTAGGACTCCACGCTCCCGATGCAGGGGGCATGGGTTCCATCCTGGTCGGGGAACTCAGACCTCACATGCCGCCTGGTGCAGCCAAAACAAGAACTGGGAACTGAAAACAACTCAGATGTCTCCTCCACCAATAGGTGAACCGGTGAACTAGCTGTGAGGCTGTCAGACCATGAAGCATCATCAGAGACAGAACAGACCCTGATGAGCAGCAACAGGAGTGTCCTCCATCACTGTTCTGAGGAAAGAAGTGAGATGAAGGGTGTGAGCAGCAGTTCCAGAAGCGACGTGGAGGGCAAGACCAGCTCTTGGGTGCAAGAGACCCGGCCAGCCGCTGCCTCGGGAGCGTGGGGACCAGCTGCACTCGGGGCTGGACGTGCTCATCTGAAGACAGCGCCCCAGCCATCCCCTCAGCGGGCTGACAGTGCATGGTTATGTCTCAGTAGAGTCGAGAAGGAAAACGGGGGGCTGTAACCACCCTGTAGAGGCAGTGGCTGGGGGGGGGGCCCTGGGACTTCGGGGTGCTGTCCTGCTCCCAAGTCTGGGTGTCAGAGGCCCCAGCATGCTCCTTTGTGAAAAATTCAATAACCTCAATGTATTTGTGCCTTTTTCTCCGTCTAAATTACTCTTTAATTAAAACAGTGTTAAAACACATGCATGTGGAGAAAGACAGAGGGTGAGGTTGTGAGTAGGCGTGTATTCACCTCCTTCACTGCTTCTCCTGCCCAGGGTGGACCAGCGTCAAACTGACTGGTCAGGTAGCCGATGCCTGCAGCACAGTGAGGCTGAGTCCCAGGACGGGCCTTCCGACCCCAGGGACCTGAGCCGGCGCCCAACACATCCACTCTGTCTCCACCCACTCTCACAAACAAGACGGATCTCCTTCTGACCGACAGGACCTCTCGAGACTCACCTGCAGCTCGTGGTACCGGAGGGACGGACAGTCAGGCCAGGAGGCAGAGGACACATGATGAAGCTGGGCCCACAGCCCCGCAGCCAAACCCGAGACGCAGGCGGGGCAGCTCACCGACCACCCCAGCGTGTTGTATCCAACCTCACAATCACCAGCTTAAAGATGAGGACGCGGGAACTCAAGATCCAGAGAGAGACTCGGGCGGGCAACATCCCCACTCTTCCTTCCAGGTGCGGAGGACGCCCTGCAGCCCAGAGGGGCTGTGCCCCGGGGACCTGTGTCCGCCTGCCAGCCAGGCCCTCAACTCCCTGCACTGGGCGCTGGCTTCTCCCTTGGGGTCCCCAGCACTACAAACCCCAGTCTGGCGGCCCAGAGACTCCAGGAGATGAGGCTGGGCCTGGGGCCTGCCATGCTGACGGTCCCCTTAAGAGAACGAGACTCTAGACACTGCTGCTGCTGCTAAGTTGCTTCAGTCGTGTCCGACTCTGTGCAACCCCATAAACGGCAGCCCACCAGGCTCCGCTGTTCCTGAGATTCTCCAGGCAAGAACACTGGAGTGGGTTGCCATTTCCTTCTCCAATGCATGAAAGTGAAAAGTGAAAGTGAAGTTGCTCAGTCGTGTCTGACTCTTAGCGACCCCATGGATTGCAGCCTACCAGGCTCCTCCACCCATGGGGTTTTCCAGGCAAGAGTACTGGAGTGGGTCGCCAGTGCCTTCTCCGCCCGACATTGCTAGACAGGTGGCAATCACGGCAAGCGTGCAGAGCTTGGTTTCTTGTTTCACCATGAAGATGGGAGGAAAAGGTTAACTTACGTTGGGCCGTTCTTCTGAGTGGTGTTCTTGACTTGTCAAAAAGACAGAGAGTAAAAGAAATGAATAACTTTTGGGAGCTTGCCTGTATATTACTTGATCTGACAGATTATCTGAGAAATTTCAAATGATCTGAAGGAACAGAGCCAGAAGAAAGGATATTACACCAAGAACTTTACTGGCAACACCTTTTTAATAGGTCAAAGTAACTGTACAGTTCATTATATTCTTCCTGAGAATAATTTATATCCCCCAACAAACTAAAGGGAGGGTGTATTTTTCAAAATTATTTAACAGAATGGATGGTAAAACTGGACATCAAAGGGAAACCAAATCTCCGTTTCGCCCAATTCTCTCCTGGGAAGACAGACACAATGAAGGGTTAGTGAACTCCAGTGGCTGTAAAATAGTCAACATGGCTTTAATTTTTCTTTATAAATTATATAAAAATGGAAAACAGGGATGGTTCCAGAACTTCTTCTCAATGCAGTTTGGAGGTGCTCTGGTACAAAGCATTTCTGCTTCCGAGAGAAATAACATCGCTACAAAAAACTGGCACATTATTCTGGTGAAAAAAGACAAAAGTTTTTAGTGTGTTCTACAGCTAGTTTCCAACCAAATGTTTCACACACCCACATGAAAGTAAAAGGCAGGAAGGAGGAGAGAGTTGTAGTTTTTTTTTTTTCTGAAATGACTCAAGTCTTCAAAATATAGCTTTTATATTCTTCCTCTGTAAAGTGGTATTAGCATATTGCAACTGTAGAGTGTTCTGACGACAAAAATTCCAGTCTGGATCGCAAGTCTGCGGTTGGCAAAGGGCTTCTCAGCCCCATGGTTCCTGGAACCCTCCGCTTCCTCCTCTTCTTCCAAAGCGAGGTCTGGCCAGTTCAGGAATCAGCGTGTCACCACCTTGGCCGTTTCCACGAAAGCATATCCTGACATGAGCACAGCCTGTCCTTCATCATTCTTTAAGAGCTTCTCACATACAACTTTTACTCTCAGAAGAACGCCACACTGTGGATCCCGGACTTTTCTGAACACCATGATTAAAGAGCCGAAACAAAAACAACCCAAATCAGAACACAGTTAAACTTATGTGAGATTTTCAAGCAGCCGTCAGTCAAACGCTGTCGGCGCCGGCCGGGCAGGGCCTCGCTGCTGGTGGGGGTGGGGCAGGCCCGCGCTCAGTGCGGCCTCGGCTGCCCCAGGCCCTTCAGTCTGGCCTGGTCAATGACGTCGAGCAGGTTCTTGGCATCCACGGCCAGCGCGTGTGCGGCCGTCAGCATCTGCTTCTTGTACTCCTGCTGCAGGCTGGTCATGACGTACTGCTGGGCCAGTTTCATCTTGTTGATGAGCTCCCCCAGGTCAGAGTTCAGCAGCTTCTGGGCCATCTCGATCTGCAAGGACAAGAGGGTCAGGAGAGCTGCCTGTGGCCACTGCCCAGGGGGTCCCAGGCGCTCTTCTTAGGTGCCTCCGGGAGAAGAAACGCTCTTTCTTCCCTGGAAACAAGACGGAAGCGGGTCTCCCCCTCCAGGCCTGCACGCCTCTGGCGCACCTGCCGCGGGATCTTCCTTTGCTATACGGGAGGCAGTTCAAGGACGTCAGCAGGCCTCGCCCCAATCCAGACCCTTCCAAACAGATCAGAGGGCGAAGTGGGGGCCGCAGGGATGGAAGAGGCCCTGGGCGAGACAGTGATCTATCCACCTGCTCTTTAAACAGTCAGCAAGCACTTACTGTGTACAAGGCCCTTGGAGCTGTGGACGCAAGAGATGATCAGAGAAATCACCCCACACAGATGGACCCGGAGAAGAGCAGGTCACAGCTCTGAAGAGCAACAGAGACGCCACAGAGGGGCGCGCCCCCCGCAGCTGGCCGAGACGGCACCCGCTTGCTGGCTTCCACCGTGAAGGGCCTCACGGCCCCCGGCTCACCATGCTCCTGTGGAACACAGCAGCAGGGATGCCCAAGGGATTTCAGGAAGGGGAATGACAACCCAGAGCGGGCACTGGTGCGTGAAGGGGCTGAACCGACAATGGGGAGAGCCTGGAGGCAGCGACAACAGCTGAGAGGGGCTGTGGTCCTTCAGGGAAGAGGAGCGAGGCCGTGCGGATGGAGAAGCAAGGCCTGACCTGAGACATGTGGCCAACAGCAGGCTGCCTGTGTGTGCGTGCACGTGTGTGTACACGTGCACGTGTGGTTCGTGCTGGGCAGGGTGGTGGGTACACACTGGTCCCACCGACGCCACAGGAAGAACGTGTGGTAGGGGCAGACTCCCACAGAGAGCCGGCGCCCAGGGCTTAGAGGGAGGCCCACTGATAGCCTGGGGGGTGGCCCTCAAACATCGGGATCTGTGGGTGTCAGGAGGACTGCCACGGAGAAAAGGTGTCTGTGAACACACACTGGGGGGCACCTTGGGATGGTCACACTCAGGGCAGCAGAGAAGAGCTGGGGGGGGCGGGTGGCGAGCGAAGTCGGAGGGAGGGAGGTTCTGAAATCTGGGGGTCTCACCAGGGAGTTAGGACTGAGGGCGGGGGGTGGGGGGTGGCCTCCGGGACTCCTGTCAGGAGAAGTAGAGAAATGCTAATACTGGGTCCAGAGGGACCTGGCCAGGTAGACAGGTGGGAAGGCAGGAGAGGAAGCAGGAGAGCCAGCGACAGGGAGGGGCCATGGCAGGCCCGGCAGCCACAGCTGCAGTCAGACCTGGTCATGTGGGGCCTCCCCGGGGGCTCAGGCGGTAAAGAATCTGCCTGCAATGCAGGAGACCTGGGTTTGATCCCTGGGTGGGGAAGATCCCCAGGAGAAGGGAATGGCTACCCAGTCCAATATTCTTGCCTAGAGAATTCCCATGGACAGAGGAGTCTGGCGGGCTACTGTTTCCTCGCTTCTGGTACCTGGACTTTCCTTATTCTGGTGCAAAATTCTTGCTCATTGTAGAAAACCAACTAAAGGTCTAATAAAGCAGACAAAGGAGCTAATCTCCTAACTGGAGAGAAACATAAAGCTACACGGGGACAGCCGATCAGAGCCATTTTCCAAAACGACGTTAAGTGGTGTCATGCAGGGAAGTCGATGTCACGTACAGAAGACCCGCGCAGGAGCTGCACCCCGCCGTCCCACACATCCCGACACTGGCTGGGCGGGCTGCCCGGGACATGGCCTCCCAAGGGGATGCAGCAGGGAGTGGGGACCTAGAGCCCCACGGCCTGGTCCCATCATGGGGGACAGCGAGCACCCGAGCAGCTGGCCCAGGAGAAGCACACAGAGACGCTGGTGTCAGGGGCCCCGTGAGCCCCAGGCTGTCACCCACCAAAGGGAGAAGCTGGAACACGGCCTGCTGAGCAGACGAGCCTGCCGGTCGGCGTGAAACCCTGGTCGTGGTGACCGTGCGGAGCGAGAAAACAGCCCCACTGTCAGCAAAAGCGAGCGGAAACACCACAGGTGGGGGGCGGGGGGCATGACTAGCGCAGCCCCTCCCACGGGGCCCCAGAGACGCAGACACCGAGTGAGCAGATACACAGAGACTGTAAACAGTGGTCAGCAGGGCAGGCGGTGGACTGGGGCGGGGGGACCTGAAAACTCGTGGTGCTATTCTGGAAACTTTCTCTAAGTCTGAAATCATTTCAAAGTAAAAAGTAAAGAAACACAAAAACTAAAAAACCAAAACAAACAGGGCCCGCTGGGCTGAAGGACAGACCATGGGCCCCAAGAGAGAAAGCAGAAAAGTGAACGCAGGAGACAGGAGTGGCGAGGCGAGGGAAGTGAGCAGGGCCAGGTGCAGACCCCAGACATTAAACTTATTTACTGGTCACAGGTTTTTATATCGCTGCTTTCAGTGGGAATCCAGGGTCACTCACAGAGGAACTCGAGGAAGCGGGAGGGAGGCCTCTCCCGGCCCAGCCTGCTGCTCCATCCGTGCTCCCGAGGACTCCACAGTGCCTGCAGTCCCGCACCCGTGCTCCCACCTGCCCTCAGAACGTCCTGTTCTTCACAGTACGGGCGCCAGTCACCCCACGGGGCCCTCAGGATGGACGGCTGGTCCTCAGAGTCCCCGTCTGGGGCACTGGCCGGAAGGTCATGCCCCGCAGAGCGGTCACCGCAGCCCCGAGGGCCCACACACTGGCCCCTGGATGAGGCCCTACCTCTCGGTGGGTGCTGGCAGGCAGGACAGGGATGGTCTCATCCACCGTGGCCAACAGCGTCCTCAGGGCCAGGCCGACTTCCTAACAGACAAGAGACCACACCAGCATTAGGACGCACGCCAGGCAGCTCCATACCAGCCGTGCTGGTGTCTCCTTCCAGTGACAGGACTTTCATTTCCTTTCCACTACTTTGGGGGAAATTTCTGTATTTCCTTTCCACAGTCCTGAGCCTGATCTCGTTATGAGGCAGATTCAGATCTCTGAACACTCACTGCTCTTCTGTCCGGGGAACAGGGGCTCAGGTAGGGAAAGTGGGCTGCCTGTGCAAAGAGACTCTTTCTCTCCCCGGTGCTCTCCGCAGTCTTGAGGGGCGGCTGGGAAGGGTGTGGCCACTGCCACACATGGGCGCAAACGCCAGGTGGCACCAGCTCTGGGGGCCACGCTGACCCGGGGGCTTCATCCCCTATGCACATGGGGCACAACAGCCCTCCCCTGGCCACTTGGGGTTTAAGGGACCAAGGGTAATTAAAAACGGTATGACGCCATAGGGATCAACTATGTAAGGACTCAAGTGCTAAGTTATGCCTGCAGCATGGATAAGACCAGTAAGGACAGGCTGGTTATTACCACTTGATCAATATAAAAAAGTATCATTTTGCCAGAATAATACAGTTAAAAAAGGAGCTTCTACAAAATCACCCCAACAAGTTTTATTATGTACAAAATCCTGATTGCTTTTGTATCTAGTTGCATTTATTAGTATTTTTAAAAAAATGCCTGTGGTTCCTGAAAGTTGACCCTTAAGAACTTTGGTTACAACTGCCAAGGGAATAGGCTGCAAACTCAATCAGAATGGAGTAACTGGGCTGTCCACAAAATAGCATGACTTCCAAGCAGCTATTCCACAGTGGGGTTTAAAAACAGCTGTTCCAGAGATGGCTCATTGGTACACTAAAAAGGTTGTTCAATCCTGTAACTCTACACAAAAAGGAACAATCCTATTAAAAAATGAGCAAAGGACTTGAACAGACATTTCTCCAAAGAAGATAAATTGGGAACAGAATGACCACAAGATCCAGCAATTCCACTTCTGGGTGAACGCCCTACAGAGCTGAAAGCAGGGTCTCCCCAGGTTACCTGTCTGGCCCTTTAACAACGTAACCACCTCTCCTGCCGTGGCGGCACTAAACCGTCTGCGTTCTCCTGCAGCTGTTCTCACCCAAGACCACCTGAACCAGCAGCCGCTGTTGACGACTCTTCTGCAGAGGACACTCCGGGACCGAGGTCGGGAACGGCAGTGGTCACCGGGCAGTGCAGACCTTCTGAAGCAGTGGGGTGGATGGACTGAGGGGCACAGGGACCCGCTGCCATGCGCGTGACAGGGCTCAGCTCACCTTCACCATGGGGACATACTCCTCTGGCGGGGCGGGCTGGATCTTGCTGGACATCTCGATGACCGCTCTCACCAGGCCCGTCACGTTCTCGTACACCCTGTCATTGGACCGGTCCAGGTTGGCGGTGGGAGGGGGGCTGATCTCCTGGGGCTGAAGCTGCCAATACAGAAGCTGGTTATCTTTCCTTCGTCCAGCAGATGGCGCCATATCACCGCAACGCAGCTAGGAAGGGTCTTTAAGAGAGATCAGAGCCCATCACTTAAGGGGTCTTGTCTTAGGGGACACGCTTCAGTCTGAGGATGATGGAAAGCAGTTCATCCAAGTGACAAATGACTAAGGCACAACTTTTTCTAACTTTGAGCTCAGTTAAAGGAAATGAGAGGGAATCGCACCCATTGCACTCGAAGCCCTGGTTCATTCAGAGAGGTGATTCACCGCCCTAACCCCCCCCCGAAATCATTCACCAGGAGAGGAAGAACCCGGGAACCCCACGCCTCTCTGAGGACTTATGGTTATAACAAGTGGACAAGTGCAAGTCTTCTTTAAACGGACACCATCTGCGTGCTGAGCGCTGCTGCAGTGGAAGCCATGCGGGTGCTGCTCTGTGGGCCGGTGGGCCGGGGCGGTGGGGGGGTGGGGGGGCCCTGCTCCCTCACCCACAGTCGAGATGGGTGTGAAACAAGGCATAGACATGAAGGTGCCCGCCACAGGGCCTGGGCACACAGGCTTCAGCAAGGCTGTCCAAGAGAACCTGAGCCCTGAAGGCTGCGCCGAGGCCTCAGAGGAACCGCCAGTGCATTAAAAGTCAAACTGGCCGCCCAGGCACGAAAGGACAGCACGTGTCTATCCTGACAAGACCGAGGGACAGCCGCAGCACTTGTCCTTTATGGCCAGTGCTCAGCCTCAAGCTCTGGGGGCCATGTCTGAGCCCCGGGAAGGAAGCGACGGGAGTGCTCCACCACTGCAGAGACGCTCGTGGCTTACTCTACGGCAAATACACGTGCTGCTTTGGGGACAAACCAAGCGAACGCGTCCTCCCCAGGCTTTCTGCCTCCTGGTCCAGATTTGCATAAGAGCAGGGTGTGACAGAGAGCTGGACAGACACACAGACACCATGTGCTTACCCTCCATGGCTATTGTCGAACGGAAGGTGAGGACAAGTTAAAGAAATTTGTCAGAGGAAGGGAAAAAAGAAAAACAGTATTAATAAAGGCAGCAGACAAAACCCCCGTAAAAACACATGAGCAGAACAAGAGAAGCAGGTTTCCACCTGTCGACTTGGCTCGCTGGTCAGTAAAGTGCAGCCACCAGGCAGTCTGTTCAGGGCACCCACATATTCAGTAGGGGTCTGCCATGCACCATGCTTGTTTTCATGAATAAATGAGGAAAACCACATGCAAAGCCCGAGCGTGACAATCTGGCAGCCGTGCAAGGATCCACAGAATTGGGGGTCTTTTACAAAGCAGGGAGGCGTATCTATGCTGTGTTCACACAACACTGCCCCTTGGACTCCTGAGGTTCAGGAGGAACAGCACACCCTCAGTCCCTGAGCTCCCTCCGACATCCGACATCCCCGGAAATGGGCTTCGACCCAGCCGTCCCACTGGGGCAGAGACGCCTGGCTGGGGGCTGTGTTTAAAGACACCAGGAGCTTCATTTAAAAACAAACAAACAAAAAATACCCCCCATTTGAACCAATTCTAATGGTTGGGTTCTTCCTTTATTTTAAGCCTAGAAATTTTATTTAATGTTTTCTTTTCTCTATAACTTTAAAACTATTCTACTGTAATATGACCAACAAAGTGGTAATTGAGAGAAATATGGATTTCTTGACCTTTTTTTAGAGTTGTCTGAATTCTATTCCCTTTGGTATAGAAATTTAGCAGAATCCTAGATTCTGAGGTCCAACCCTCCACGCTGTGTGCACTGGAAAGAGGGAGGCTGCTCACAACAGCATCACTTCTGAGAGCCCGGGCGCTGGCACTGAGATGCCGAACGTGGCAGGAAAGCCGGCTCAAAGGGCATCAGTCAGTGTGCAAAGGGCGGGCTTCCTCAGGTGTGGCGACCGGGGCTCCGACAAGGAACCACGACTCTGGACTCTGGAGGAGAGGACGGTCTGTCCTACTCTGTTCAAAGCTTGTTCTTTTGTGTTTATCCTTTGCCCAGCTCTTGTGAGGGTAGCCTGGTCACCATGCTGCCAGGGCCCAGTCCTGAGGACCCTCCCAAAGCACCAGCTTGCTTTGCAGACATCTGCACTGGCCTCCTATTTTTTGGAGCTTGACCACCTGAAGGCCCTTGGCAGAAGGTTAGGACACACCACCGATCCGCAGAGACACAGGCAATCCAACCACTCGTGGTGAGAGGGGTCGTCCTGGAAGACTTTGGTAATTCAGAGCCAAAATGTAAACCCACCAAGCAGAAACTGACACTGGTTTCTGGCTATTATTTGGATGAATACCAGTTATACCAGGTAAAGGTAAACATTTCTGTATTATAATAAAGAGAGCACTTCTTTCAGACTGGATTTGATAATAGAGATAAATACTTCACACTTATCAATCAGAGTGTATTTTAAGTAAGCACACTCTTTCCACAAAGACTTCTACTTGTTCAGTACCCTATATATATCCTGTAACAAGGGTATTTCCCCATTATATTCATTCATACGTTAGTCCACATGTTAAAAATGAACACAGGTCAGAGGTCTAAGATGGTATCTGATCTACTTTTAAAGTTGGCTTTTCATCACAATACAAGCCATTTTGAAAATTTCTTCTTTTGCTTATGAAAATGAAAAAATTTCACTAACCCTGTTTCTCTCTTCATTTTTAAAATTTATGTCAAGAAACCACATTAGGGAAGGGTTTTCTGCTTCTCTGTGTTGCTAGCAGAGTTACAGGCCTGGAGGCCTAGCAGCTGTGGAAGCCAAGCCCCGGGCCGTCCCCAGGACTAGCACTCTGGCTTCTGGTTGCTGGTGACCTGCCCTTGGACAGGGGTGCCTCTGGGCACATGCTAACCTCCACACTGCCCCTGCAGGGGTCAGGCTGGTCCCAGAGCGTGGCCTCTGGGCTACAGGCTGACTCGCGCCTGGAGAGGATGTTTTCTCTGCCTGGGCAACCTCTCTGACTCTCCTGCTTCTGTGAGCAATCAGCCCCTTGGCTTCTGGTGTGAACCTGGAGTGGCAGCACACAGCGTGTGGATGGAAAGCCAGGCCTGCGGCTAAATGCTGGGTCAGCTGCAGGGAAGCGGTACCCTTGAAATGCCCTTTAGCCTCTGGGAACTGGGGAGCCGCACGTGAAAGGTGAAAGAAATGGTCAGGCCACCAGTCCTGTGAGGCTCATGTCAGGTTAACATACATGGGGCAGGCTCTGCCCCAGCAGCGGGCACTCAGTGAACAGTGGCTGCTGGTGAGACACAGCTTAGCAAGGCTGATCCCACAGCTACTGGGTTCTAACCTGTACCTTTTCCTAGGTGCCATGAAGAAGGAAAAAATGCCAACCAAATCAACACACCCTCTTGATTTCAGAGATATATTCTGAGAGATAACTGACCTAACGGGGAGTGAAGGTGCCCCTACCCTCGAGTGGGCACACAGCGGGGGCAGCTGCAGCCCCAGTACATGCTGCTGGGCACACATAGTTGCCGCCTCCATCGAAACCACCCCCCCAGGCCACGCGGATGAACCTGGAGAGACTGCGCCGCTCAAGGTCACGCATCCCCCAGGAGTTGGACTCAACTCATCTGTACCATCAGAAGGTATCCTAGCACTTTACCTCAAAGCAACATCCTGTCTGGTAAGAAAACAACCTTTAGACAGGATCTGACTGAGGCCCTATCACGTGAGAGAACACAGGAAGAGTTTCCCAGCAAACCTGATCCTGACTCCGAGCAGGGTCTGGAGCTGACGGAGGAGCCCACCCACCCCGCCACACAGCATTGCAGGGTCGTCACCAGGGATGGAAGGCGCTCACCTTGACGCCCTCGTTGTAACTGTCCCCGGGGCTGCCGAGGCTGGCCAGGCTGCCCAGGTGCCCAGGGGCTCCAGGACGCGGCGGCTTCTTTGGTGGCGCTGCAGGATCTGGTAAAGGAATGAGCCCCATTGAGTAATGTCCATTAATGGAAAGGATGGAAACGACTCCCAAATAAACGGAGTTATTACAACAGGTGCTAGTCTCAGAGAGGGCACCCTGCGGGGGTGGGGGAGGGCGTTTCTGACACAGTAGATGGTAACTCCTGTTTTCCAGTACTCTAGGCGTGGGCTGGATTTGGTAAACATCACATGTGCAGCGGGAGAAGCATGAATACATCACGAGGCATTCCACAGCTAAGAAACTACACATAAAAACCCACTTCCTCCAAATTACACAAACTGTGTGACGCGCAATCCATTTCTTAACTTACCTGGTTTGCCCACAGGCTGATATATGTGCTGGTTGCCAGTCTGTGGGGAAAAAAAGATGCGGGGTCAGTGCAGTAGGGTGCACCACAAGGCAACGGCCGCCCCGCCCACCCTCTGCCCGCCACCCTGGACACCTCTACTGAACACTGCGGTCAAAGACCAATGAGACGGGGGAGGGGCCTGCCTGCACGGTGGGGGTGGGTGGTTAGGCTGATAAGCAGATAACAGCCACAGGGTGTGGGGTCAGGGCGGTCACAATTTCAGAATTTCTTTAAAGAAATCATGTCCACAGACGTCTCCAGTGGGCCTACAGGAGTGTGAAATCTGTTCTGGATGCCCCCCCCATTACAAGAAGGGGTGCCACTGGGGACAACAGTGATGAGAAAAGGTTTCACAGCCCTGGGACATCTATGTTTTCACAAACACCTGAAGGACCTGGGGTGACACCCCCATCTCTTCTGCACTAGCCACAGGCCAAGTCAGGAAGCCAGACCACCCCAGGGACAGGACAAACAGGCAGGCACACAGACGACCAGTCCTCATCCAGGCTGTCGTGCCCACAGCTGCGATCAGAGCCACCTATCCTAGGCTGACTGAATGAAAAGAAGTATGTTCAGAACCCTATCCTACTTTTGAAGAGACTTGCCTTGCTGACTCTAAAACAATAAACTGGTTAAAACACATGTATTTTAAGGTGATTTACTTTTTACTGAGCAGAGACCCACTTCTTTAAAACACAGGAGCATGAGACAGCACATGCAGCCACAAGTGCTCCTCACCCAGGACCACAGCAGCTTCCACCAGGTCACTGAACACTCCGTTTGAAGACTGCTTGATCATAGTGTGGGGGCTGATTTCAGGGTACTCTGCTCTGCCCCACTGACCTATGTGCCTATTTTTGTGCCAGGACCTTGCTGTTTTGATTACTGCATCTTTGCAGTACAGTCTGAAGCCAAGAAGGGTGGTTCCTTCAGCTCTGTTCTTTCCCAAGATTGTTTTGGCTATTCAGGGTCGTTTGTATTTCCATATATATTTTACATGTATTTGTCCTGGTTCTGTTAAAAATGTCATTAGTATTTTGATAGGGGTTGCACTGGTCATTTTAACAATGCTCTTTCTTCCAGTCCAAAAACCAGTTTATCTTCTCGGCCATTTGTGTTGTCCTCAGTTTCTCCCACCAGCATCCTACAGTTCTCAAAGTACAGGTCTTTTGTCTTCTTATGTGAAGCTTATCCCTAGGTATCTTATTCTTTTTGATGTGGTGGTAAATGGGATTATTTCCCTAATTTCTCTTTCTGATAGTTCTTTCTTAGTGTATAGAAATGCAACAGATTTCTGTATGTTATTTGTATCCTATAACTTTACGGAATTCACTGATGAGTTCTAATAGTTTTCTGGTGGCATTTTTAGGATTTTCAATGTACAGTATCATGTCATCTGCAAACAGTGACAGTTTTACTAATTTGAATTCCTTTTATTCCTTTTTCCTGTCTGATTGCTGTGGCTAGGACTTCCAATACTATGTTGAATAAATGTGAGGAAAGTCAGCATCTTTGTTGTGTTCCTGATCTTAGAGGAAAATGCTTTCAGGTGTATGTTATCTTTTCAACATAAGGAAGGAGCACTGTGTGGAGATGTTAAATGGGGGACGGTGTGATTTTGCACATGTGGACTAAAGAACCCCAACACTGTGTCCGCAGAGCCCACTGTGTGTGTGTGTGTGTGTGTGTGTGTGTGTGTGTGCGCGCGCGCACGTGTGTCCGTGTGTGTGTGTGAACACCCAACACCCTGTAGAGCCGTGTGTGTGTGTGTGTGTGTGTGTGATGGGAAAGGCCAAACCTTCATGTGCTGGTGACTGGCCACATCTTGCAGGGGCAGGTCTTAGGAGAGCTGGATCTTATAGCACAGACTAGGGAAAACTATGCATCCTGGAGCTGGTTGACAACCTGGTTTCATGTATGTATGTTTTTACATATGTCTGTACATATGTACGTATGTAGGCAGGCATGTGTGTCTAGAAATGAAGTGGTTTATATCTATCCGGAAGCCTTACCAGGGTGGAAATTTATCTCCTTAAGTCCATTACCCAGCAAGTGGCAGTCTCCCTTTTTTACTGGGAATTTCTTTAAGTTGTTCTTTTTTTTATTATTTTTTTCTTAATTTATTTTAACCAGATATATGCTGATCGAAATCCTAATAAAATAATTTTAACTACTCTCCCCTAAAGAATAGGGAATATTTCTAGCAGGCTTTAAATATATTTAGAATAATAATAAGCTAGGTCTTCAAAGAGAATATCAGGCATTTTCTCCTACAACACCCAGGAGAAAAATCTGCTTGAACAAATTTTCTGTGACTGTGGAAACTTTTATAAAACGTGAAACAAGAGCATACAAATTTGGCCAGATGACAACTTGTTGTAGTAACAGTTAATGTGTGTACGTATTTCAATATTTCAGCTTACTACTGAAAAGACCGTATTAGTAATGGGGGAGAAATTTTGTGCACAGTGTGTTTTAATAACCTTGGCTGGAATGCCGGTTTCAGTTATGCAATGAGTTACTGTGCTCCGTATGACAAATACTAAAATGCGTGAACATCCCACGACACAAAGAGGTCCAGGTCCTGACAAGGATGCGGGCAGCTGCTTACCGGGCCCTGAGGACCTCCATCCTCTCTGTCAATGCTACCTCGAGAGAGCCGCACGTCAGGTTTCTGGAGAAACAAAAGCAAAGCAAACAGTTTCATTCTTGGCTTGAAAACCGCTGATGTATTTCTGTATTAAGCATCTTGAAGCGTTCAAAGTCCCAGTTTCAGAAAAACTCTCAAAGCCCAGAGGTGACAAGTGCAGGTCAGCGGGCCCAGCAGAGCCCCTTCTCCGCATGCGTGCACAGCTAACAGAACTGGCCTGTGCCCTGCCCCACGTGGCACATGAAGATGTGGGCCTCACCTCTCTTCCTAGCAATGCGCTCTCTTTCCTGAGAAACCCCTGCCCTGGGAGCAGGCACCAATGCCGTCTTCCTGGCAGGTGGAGGCTTACTCTACTTGGCTGTCTCGCCAAACCAGCAAATGGTCCAATGATGGTACCCCCCATGGTGCATCCAGAATTCAAAGCCAAACAGAGGAATCTCGACTTAATAGTAGGTGAATTTCACTAACAGAAGACTAAACAAAGTAGGCCACATGCTGTCACGGCATGGTGCTTGGTGGGTTTCCTCCTCACAAAAACAACACCGCTCAGTGGCCCCAGCCTGCCCCACAATGGTGCGGACTTCACGGAGCCCACAGGCAGCCACAGCGACACCTGCCCCTCCATGCCAGACACACTGGCCAAAGCTCATCTCAGGGTACGTTTCCCTTGCCCTCTCCAGGCTGACCACTCATTTCTTGGTCTCCACCAGTCCACCGTCTCTTTCAGAAACCCTGCATTTGGCAGAGACCACACAGGAAAAACTATCCTTGTTAGGGAAAGAACGTCCTAATGAGGGTCTGGCACAGGACACTAGCCACAAGCACCTGTTAGAGGTGGTGATGGAGAAATGAGCTTTGTGTCTTGCTTTGCTTACATGTGCTTTCAAGTGAGACCATGTCATAATTCCGTAGCCTTCATACGACATTACACAGTGGAAGCCGGCAAACATGGGGTAATGTTGCACAGCACTGCAGAGTCTGAATGCTGTCACAGAACAAGGTGGAAGCAGCCTGGGCGCTGGTACCAGCCATCTGATGTACGAGTTCATTCTCAAAGGGATAAAAGCACTCAACCTCCACTGTTCGCAGAGTAGAAAATGCCACCAAAGCAGAGCAATGTATGTACGTAGGGTGTGGGACTCGGGTCAGGCCCCTGTCCTCTCGAGCTGTGTGGCCTGGGCCTCAACCTCTTCATCTGTAACACGGGTGGGAGGTGACACCACTCACCAGGTACTACCCCAATCCTTGTCAGGATTAAGCGAGGTAATGCTGGCAAAGCACTGAGACCGCCATGTACGTGTGAAGCACAATAAACGGCTCACCTGCTGCCATCTGCTGAACATTTGGGCTATTTTCAAAATTTCACCTGCATGAACAGGCTCTGGGTGAAGAGCTCTGTGTACAAACCTTTGACTAAATTCCTGAGCAGTTCCCCAAAAAGCTGAGCGTGTCAGCCGCCAGGCTGCCTCTGTCCCGCGCTTGCCTCTATCCGTGAGGCCCCGTGCCCCAGCACCGCTAACATCACTGAAAACCCGCAGCCAGCCAACAAGCGAAGTGCTGCCTGCTGGGCCTCTGCGCCCCTTCCCTGAGCGGCACGTCTGTTTCCTCCCACTGCACGGATGCTAAGCTGCCATGGACAAGGGGCTTCACCTCTCCTGATCCAGGGACTCACCCGAATGACTGTTATAAGGATCAAGTAAGTTCCTGGCACAGAAATGGTTTCCCCAGTAGTCATGTATGGATGTGAGAGTTGGCCTATAATGAAAGTTGAGCACTAAAGAATTGATGCTTTTGAACTGTGGTGTTGGAAAAGGCTCTTGAGAGTCACTTGGACTGCAAGGAGATCCAACCAGTCAATCTTAAAGGAAATCAGTTCTGAATATTCATTGAAGGACTAATGCTGAAGCTGAAACTCCAATACTTTAGCCACCTGATGTGAAGAACTGACCCCTTGGAAGAGACCCTGATGCTGTGAAAGACTGAAGGCGGGAGGAGAAGAGGATGAGATGGTTGGATGGCATCACCAACTTGATGGACATGAGTCTGAGCAAGCTCTGGGAGTTGGTGATGCACAGGGAAGCCTGGAGTGCTGCAGTCCATGGGGTGGCAAAGAGTTGGACATGACTGAACTGGCACAGAAATGGGCACATACGAGATGTTTAGCAAATATATGCTGAAGGAAGACTTCCAACTTGAAGTCCTCTCCCCGTACACCACCTTGTCTTCAGACCTGGACCATGGAGCAAACACGGCGGGCTGTGGCCTGGCTGGGAGCAGAGTCCCGTCTGGGACCCTCTGACCCGATCCTGATGCTCATCTTTCACTCCTGCTAGCTGGCACTGCCACGAGGGGGAAAACAGCCCCAACGTTCACTTCCTTTCTCAGAACACAAAGCGGCCTTTGTATACTCAAAACATTCTCATTTTAAAGTTAAAACCCTGCCTTCAGCACAGCCCTGCATGAGAGAATGACTGTGCGCACAGCAACCAAAATAAACAGGGAGCAAAGCTTCTCTCCTTGAAAGCAGCACCCAAGAGCAAAGCAGGTCTGCCCGGCGCACTGAGGTTCCAGTCAAGCCTGCTGGCTCCCTCTGGCTGGTCTGCAGGACAGCTTTCGCCGCCGTGGAGCCATCTCAGAAACTGCATGGGCTGCATGACATCAGAGAAGGAGGTGGGAAATACCACCAAGATCCCACTGTAGGTCGCGGCCCTGTGCTCTATGCAAGAGCCTGCCACCCTGACAAAGGTGTGCCAAAGAGAGGAGGGACCTGAGGGATGCGCGACTCTCCAAAGTGCTCGATAAAAAGTCACCTCACACAACGAGGTAGGGCCTAAAACTGGATGTTTTGCTAAATAGCTGCTGACTCTGATCTATTAGAAAAAAATCTGGGAATTACTACTGACAAAATAACGACAGAAGCAGAGGACGAAATTTCTAGAGCAATCTAAATAGTAATCTTTAGGTCTGTTGGAGCTCATAATAAAAGTTTCTGTATCTTTTAAAACATTTTCCTTCTTTCCAGTAACTGCTTTTTATTTTACTAGAGTATCAGGTCTAAAATGCTTTAGGAAACAGAACAAGGAAAGCAGCCGGGAGCGGCCCACAGGCGCCCTGGCTGAGGCGCATGGCCTGAGAGTCCCGGACTCAGCTGCACCGCCTCCCGGCTGACAGAGAGACAGAAGCCTGTGGAGAAACTCACGGTGTGCTCCTTCCCCCTCCACTGTTCACAGGTTACTCGCTCAGGCCTCAACTCCACCCGCAGGGAGGTGCTCTCGCCCTTTCAGAGGACAGTATAGCTACTTCACAGATGAATACGTGAAGCATAAAGCGGTAGACAGTTATGTGGGCCACGGCGACGAGGACTTTACACCCTCACCCAGCTGGCCCAGAGTCCAGGCTCGTGCACTTGCTGTGCCCTCGCCCTGGAATGCTCTTCTGCTGCTGGGCCGGCCTTGCACACCTCCCTGGGCTCCGTCTTCTTCACCACAATCAGGGGCTGACCTGGGGGGTGGGCCCAGAGGGCAAGATGGATGGAGAGCCCCGGGCGGTCACCTGGTGGTGGCCACCGGCAGATTCTGAGTCAGAGAAGGACAGGATCAGAGCCGAGTTTTAGAAACGTCACCATGGCTGGGGCAGGAGATGCAGCTGCGGGGAGACAGGGCTGCAGAAAGGCCAGGTGTGGCATTCACTCCCCCACCTCCTTGCCTTGCTCCCCGGTCGGTGGGGCTGCGCCTCGTCCACCAGTCACCCAGGCTGATGGCTCGCTTGCTCTCAGCTTCCCCGCCCCCACCTTGGCTACCTGACCCAGAGCTGATGCAGCGGCGGTTAGTCAACTTGTCTCATAGCACCAACACTGTTTTGATCTTGAAACTATAACAATGACAATGATAAACCATTCTTGCTTATGAAGATCAACAGGAATCTCTAATGAAACAGCACAAACAAGATAAACCAGGACCTTAAAAGGATGTCAACCACGACTTACTGGGGACTCCTCTCTGGAATGTGATTCCAGCATAAAACCAAGCAAAATGCTTCACACACTTCATCATGTTAAACCTTTTAAAAGGTTTTAAAAAGTTATTCTTTAAAATATAACGCCAACATTATACTTAATAAACTATTATAGACGTTAACTTTAAAAATTAAAGCAAGAAAAGCAGGCAAGAACTTATTTAATACAAAAGGTAGCAAGAGATGCTTCGGGGCAATATGAGATACGTAACTGAGAATGAAGGGGAAAAATGTTTTTAAAAATGACAACAGATAGCCCAAGGAAATCAGTGAAAAAGATTTCATGTGATAAATATTGTTATATACAAGGTAATTTCCTAAAACTCAATGCATATTCATATACAAAAATAATAACTAAGAATGACTCAGATGGTAAAGAATCTGCCTGCAATGCGGGAAACCCAGGTTCGATCCCTGGGTCGGGAAGATCCCCCGGAAAAGGAAATGGAAGATCCCCCGGAAAAGGAAATGGCAACCACTCCAGTATTCTCACCTGGGGAATCCCACGGACAGAGGAGCCTGGCAGGCTACAGTCCACGGGGTCACAAGGAGCCGGACATGACTGAGTGACTGAGACAGCAACAGTCAATGGGAATGAGAGCCCGAGCAGTCAGTGAGGGAAGCTCTGAATGAACAGCAGAGACTTAAAGAGGGAAGAGGTGAACTTACAGGAGATCACAAAGCTCGGAACAAACGGCGGGAATGTCGTGAGCTCAGGGCACAGGGACACCACGCCTGTGACAGGACATGGCACGGCCTAGGACCCCGTGGCGTAGGTTACACGACTCATCAATGTATCTTGAATACGAGTTGGAGGCTACTGGAGTGACAGAAAAGTTCTATGTACAGAGAGTAGGTTATATGGACTTACACATTTATCAAAACTCATCAAACTGTACACCTAGGATCTGTGTGTCTGTGGTACGTAAGTTATCTCAGTTAGAAGGAACAAACCTAACAGCTGACAGCCGGCAGTCTCCAGACTTGATTCCAGACACCTGCCATCACCCAGACGGTGGAGATGGGCTTAGGCTGGTCAGCTCCCCCACAGACCAGCTCTTCCGGAGGCTGAGTGCGCCTCCTGGGCCTGTCCACCTTGAAACCCCAATCTGTGTGCACCTGGGCACCGCAGGCACCCCAGCTCCACAGAGCGCCCCCAGCTCCCCCCGCTCAGAATAGCTCACAGCCTTGGCCTTCCTCACCCCAGGAGCAACCACAGACCAGACACTGGTACTGCAATATAGTCAGCCTAATCTGGAGAGTCTGTGACACTCACTTTTAAAATACAAATCAATAAGGGAAAACAGGGTGTCTGTCTTATAAACCACTGGCTGTTGGTTTAAGTGTTTCTGCGCCTGAAGGACGGCCAGAGTCATGGACACAGCTGTATCCCCCTCACCGATGGTGTCCGGTCCCTCAGCACAGAGGCTGAGGAGAGGCCCCAGGGACCAGCTCTGGACCCCCGGGTGTGGCGCTGTGTGAGGGCTCCCCGAGTCCTGGTTCCATCCAGCCATCCTTCTCTTCCACTACTTCAGGAAGGAGGGCTGACGGGAGAGGGCTCGGGAGACTGAGGACCTCGTGACACGCAGAGACCGCTATCACCATTCCTCTGTTCCCAGGGACTTCTGAGGGGCTGTTGGCAAGAGCTGTCCCAAGAAGACGCTTCCTGCCAGGAACCCAGAGGCATATGGGGGGAGGGCTGTGCCCCTCAGACCGTGAACTCGAGGACCCAGGAAGGCAAGCCCGGGGCCTGCCTGTCTAGTCACCAGCCTGCAGAGGCGAGAGGCGGTGTCTTGTGTGCAAGCGGCCACTTGAGCGGGAGTCGTTTCTGTGTGAGCGTGGTAGTCATGCGAAGCCACAGAAATGGTTCTACGTCTGAGCCCGCAATGCCACTGCTGACGTCCTAGAAATTCATCCAGAAAAAGTCAGTTGAGAAAAGCAAACCACCCACTGCTACAAGCCTGAGGGAGCAGACGCTCCTGCTCTGGATAAGATGAACTCTGGAGGGACAGCGGGCGCCCCAGGGCTCGAGGAGCGAGAGCACCCAGCGCGCCTCAGTTACCAGAAACCTCTCCTCCTTCTCCAGCCAGCGCTGGTCCTCCTCCATCTCCTGCTGCTGCCGCATCAGCCGCTCCTCCATCAGGTGTGTGGGCAGCGCCTGCCCGAGGCCACGCAGGTCCAGTGCCGCTGAGTCCTGGAGGGGGAGTTAGGAGAGTCACTCTCAGGCGTCCATATATAGTGCTCTTACTTTTTTTCTGTGTGTCTTTCCAAAAAAAATTAAGCAGAGCAGCTTTTCCTTGGGCTTCAAGTTAACGTGGGTGACACAGCTTTAAGAGGTATACAACTGTTCTCTTGCAGGGATCTATTTTAAAGAAGTAATCCAAGATGTGTGCAAAGAATGCATCATTAAATAGAGCAAAAAAAAAGTGGAAATGATCTGGAAGTGAAACAATGGGAGGAGGGTTAAATGTGACACATGCATGTTATGAAGTGTAAAGCATGTTTACTCCAAGGAAAAGAGCATGAATAGCAGACAACTACAGACGTTCTTGGATTGAAAGAAGTGTTTTTTAATATTACAGGAGTGGTTCTTGGTTTCACCAGGAAAACTTAGTAAAAATTAACATGGGCGGCTGAGCTGGAGGTTCTGTATGTCCACTGGCCTCATGTAGGGCTCTGTTTTTCAAATGAATGGACTAATGATGGTAGCATCTCTTCATCTTTTAGTTAAAAAGATTCACAGACCCAGAGAGCATCTGATCTTAGAATTAGGTCATCTAAACTGAGAAATCTTAGGATTCAGAATGAAAGGTGCCTTGGGTATACAGCCTCATCAATTAACAAGGCAAAGCCCAAGGACATCCAATTTACCTCCATGCTGGGCTGCCACATGGGTATCTCCTGTGGTCTGTGATTCCACGAATCTGTTTGGTCCAAGAGAGATGCCTGACCTGGGTAGATGCTGCCAGCCATGGCTGTGACTCCATGCGGGCCAGGGTAGCCAGAGACCTGCGGATGAGCGAAGCGGCCAGGTCACGCTCTGACACAGTGGCTTCTGCACAGTCCTGCTTCCAGGTGATAGGAAGTGACTAAGACTGCAGAGGACAGAGTGGCAGCAGAGAAACGGCTCCCCAGAGAAGTCCAAGGCCTGAGTCCTGGGACCTGTGAGCACCTCACTTGGCAAAGGGGTCGCACAGACATGATTCTAAGTCAGACTCCTGGGACGGGGAGGTTGCTCTGGACTGTCCCAGTGGACCCAAGGAGATCGTAAGGTCCCTAAAATGCAACTGGGAAGCAGGAGGGAAAAGAAAAGGGGGTGTGACTACTGAAGAAGGCTCAGAGAGATACTGGGGTTTGGAAGATGGAAGAAGCGGGGTCATGAGTCAGGAGTGCAGGTACCTCTAGGAGCCAGTAAAGCAAGGAAATGGACTCTCAACTATGGCCTCGAGAAAGGTCATCTGTTAGCTTAGAGAGCCAACACAAATGTACACTAGGAAAGCACACATTCTCTACTCTGCACACTTATTGCAATGCTGAGCGCAGACCATCCTCCGATGTAAAAGCAACAGGAGGCTAGACACACGGCTAAGCTGTTGCTCTATAGGTCCCTTCGGGCTGGCTCACCATGACGCCCCCAGCGAAGGAGAAACAGGGCCCCTGTAGGCCTGTCTGCTAATGAACTAGGGCAGGTGGTGGGAGAGGCACGGCTGCACAGTCTGACGGTGATGGCGCAGGCAGAGTAAGAGCGTTCAGGTGAATGTGGGAAAAAGTGGCAAGCAGAAGGGGAGTAGGAGGCGTTTCTCTGTACGGTTCGCGCTGAGTCAAAAGAAGGACAGAGCAAGGAATCAGAGTTTGCTTCCCTAACTCATCAGGCTGCTGGATGGCAGGACTGTCAGCTACTTTTTAAGGAGATAAAGTGCAGTCAAGTCTGTATTTCCAAACATCAACACACCCTTCAGTGAAGATCTCTAGGCGCTGATTTATACCAAAATTCCATACTAATGACACACAGTAAACTTTTAAATAACTTATATAGACAGCTCTCACAGTTTATTTAAATATTTTAATAAAAAAATATTTTACTAAACATGAAATGCTATTATCAATTACTATGTTTCAGTCAGAAGGGATATATTACTGCCAGATAACTTTTAGGAATTTTCACAACGAAGAGATTTCAAACCATCTAAGGCAGTTTTTTTCTATATAACTCCCAACCACGTGAAAGGATCAATTGAGCCTTTCAAGGCAAAAAGGCCTGCGGGAAATGCCCTATCGCTGTTCTTATCAAGGTGAGGAAACCTGGCGCTTGGGAAAGAATTGTTCATTTGTTTGATACAAAGATGTATGTGTTAATTTATCAATATCAGTATGTTTAACGTTACCTCCCCACTCTGAATGAGAAGAACAAAAGAACACATCTTACAACTGGAATCAAACATATACGTGTTAATTTATCAATATCAATCCATATAATGTACTTTCCCACTCTGAATGTGAAGAACAAAAGAACACACCTTATACCTGGAATGGATGCGTACCTGGTAGTGATTGGTCTGTACCATGTGCTGTGGGCTGGGATAAAATCCTTCACTGGACCTCGGACTGGGATAACCAGGTCTGCTGGGCTGTGGGCAGATCAACAGAGCATCATGTGAATAGTGTTTTGGTGAACCTGCCTTTTGTTAAAAAGAACAGAAAAAAACAATTTTCTATAAGAGCTTAGTTGGAAAGAATGATGTAGGGTGTGAAGACATTTCATTGGGGGTAACAGTCTTCTCAACAAATAATGCTGGACATCAGGATACCACATGTGAACATGAAGCCGGACCCTGTCCACACAACATACACAGAAATTCATTCTAATGGATCATTATCTCTAAACCTAAGAGCTAAAACGGTAAAACTCTTTGAAGGCGGCGGCTCAGGAGTAAATCTTTGTGACGCTAAAGTGAAAGTCGCTTAATCATGTCCGACTCTTTGTGACCCCATGGACTAAGTAGTCCATGGAATTCTCCAGGCCAGAATACTGGAGTGAGTAGACTTTCCCTTCCCCAGGGGATCTTCCCGACCCAGGAATTGAACCCAGGTCTCCTGTGTTGCAGGTGGATTCTTTACCAACTGAGCCACAAGGGAAGCCCTTTGTGATCCTGGGTTAGGCAATGATTTCTTCTACAGGATACCAAAAGCTAGTCAACAAATGAAAAAAAGATAAATTGAACTTGGTCAGAATTAAAACTTTTACATTATAAATAACGAGGTCAAGAAAGTGAAAAGACAACTCATGAATGGAAGAAAGCTTGTGGGATCTTAGTTCTCTGACCAGGGATTGAACACACCAGGTCCTAACCACTGGACTGCCAGGGAATTCCCACAGAGTAAATTTTTTAATCTTTTTGAGCCACACAGTAACTGGACCACTTACGTTCAACTGTGTAGTGGGACGTAGCCATGAACAAACACAAGGGAACGGGTAAGTTCACACAATAAAATAAATGTTCATCAACAGAAAACTGGCAGTGGGGTAGTCTGCTGACCCATATTAAAGACTAGAACAATCTCTGATTACAGAAAAGAGCCTCAAAATACACACTTTGAAAATGTCCTAGAGAAAGAAATGTGAAGCTATTTAAAATTTTAAGCTGGCTTCACCTTTATTCTGTAGAAAAGGAAGCCCAACTACCTCCACCTCCGCCCAAGAACTTACTTAACAGCAGAGCTTTCAAAACTCAGTCACATGAAAATTATTAAAAATCATAGAGACTGAGATACAAAATCACATTTAGATGGAAAAGGTTCTGCAATTCTGTGAGCTTTAGGGGACTGCTGTATCATTTGTGCTCTTCACCAGCCACACAGAGGTCCTCACACTTCTGGAACCGAAACACGTGCTGTGAACACACAACCTCATCTGGTCGTCACGACGCCCCTAAGAGGCAGGGAGCACTAGTACCCCCACTTCACAGACGAGGAGAGTGAGGCCGGGAACAAGCAGGGAACCTGCTCGGTCATCTGAGCCACTTGTGAGCATGTCCACTTGATTTCTGGACCTGAGAAATGATCTCCAAGGCTCTCCAGTGTCGAACCATTCCACAGTTGTGGCTGAGAAAACAGGCAAACCTGTATACACGAGGTGGAGATCGCAGGAGCTGGGGTTCATAGCTTTCTGGTGGGTACCTAGGGATTCTGTTGTTGCCAAATGAGGAGAGAGAGAGAAATATTCTGGTCTCATCACTAACTGGCTCAGAGTGACCCCTCGGAATCAAGCATGTGGCCCTCCTTCCCTGGGCCTCAGTTCTTCTGTTGGTGGAGGAAGCCAGACTACAGAACCCTTCACCTCTAAAGTTCTGAAAAACTTGGTCAATAACCTGTATTCACTCTACATGTGTAACAATACTTCCTGTTACACATTTTAAAACAATGACCAAGAAAAAAATGGGTACAATATTTAATAGCACTTTGTGTTAAAACAGATTTCTGAACACTTTTCAAAACGGGAATGAACTATCAGGGTTCTTTAAATATATTTTTAGCTCATCAAACGTCAAATAGCAGTTAGCCATTAACTGCAAAATAGCCTTTTATGTATACTGTCCAGAAAATGATCTGAACTGGATTATTCTCTGCAAGCAAACTGGTGTGTGAAAACACCATCCTGTCCACGGCAAAAGGAGGACAAAGAATCCTGACCTGAGGGGAGTGATCAAGGGCCTCCCGGCCCCAGCATGGCTGTGCAGTGTGGAGGCCTGGCGGCCGGCTGCAGGCCAGGAGGATGGAGGACAGGGCTGGGATGCTACCGACAGACTTCAACAAGCGGATACAATGCGCTGCCTGCTCCACAGACAACCCAGCTGCCGGCCACAGGCGAGAAAAGGGCAGAAAATGTGCTCCAGGTTCTCAGCAGAAGAGAACCAAACCCCAAGGGACAGGGTCAGGTGGAAGCAGACTCCTCTCAAAACAAACTATGAAGCGTTAATGACTTAGGTCCCCGACTTCTGCGGGGGGGCAGGTGGTCAGGGAGCTGGGAAGTCATATCTAATCCAATCATCCATGGCTTCAAACAGCTGGAGGCTGCAACACAGATTAGGAAAATGAGTGCACAGGAGGGTGGTACACAGAGAAGCAAATAAGAAACCAAAGTTGCAGTGCTGACTCTTAGAATAACCTGCCATTTGGTTTTCTCTGCACAGATAGCATGCAGCTGCCTAAACCAAACCCTCGAGAGTCAGCAGGAGGAATGCCAAGGTGGGGTGGGGGCCTCTGCTACCTTGGGCGGCGCTTCATCGGACCCTCCGGAGTCCCAGGATGCGGTGACCTGCCTTCTGGACTCCATCCTCATGCGCTCTTCTTGCTGGACCTTCTCTTCCTCCAGGATTGTGCTGGGGAGATAATACAGGGTGTGAGGGAGCTGCTGCCAGGAGCTGGAACACTCGGGACCCGCCCTGCCGCCAGGAGCCCCAATGAGAAAGGAAGAGGGGATCGGGTTTCCAGCTTCCCAGAAGGACTCCAGAGAAGCCTGGATGCAAAGGGCAGGTCCGCTTACAGCCACAGCCCAGGTAAGGAAGGACAGCTGGCCGGGAAGGGAGAAGCTGAAAAACCAGAGAGGAGCCAGGACGGACGATCTGGACGCCCGGCTCCCTTCAGCAGGACCGTTTCCCCAAGCAAGCCCCACGGAGGCACCACATCAGCGCTGTAGGAGACACGCCCCAAACAGCCCAGACGACCTTCCTGCCAGCTTTCACTTTAACCAGCACTTTGTCTCATCAGGAAGAAAGGAAACTCTTCTGAAATTCCTGCTGCCTTCGCACACGCAGCTCAGCACCAGGTCTCACGGCTGCTCACCCGCCAGGTAGCTCAAGGCTCTGTTCCCAGGCGCCAGGCCGCCCACTACTTGGGCTGGCAGGGACCTCGGTCCTCCGGGCACAGACAGCGGCCCCCACCCGCCGTCCCGCAGCTGCATACAGAGGCTGCTTCAGCCCCAGCCTCCCGGGGAGGCGTCCGTGAGAGAGTGAGGTCAGCTACCCCTGAGTCTCCCTTTCTAATCTGGGAACCACTCGCCTGTTTGCAGAAGACACTCCGGCTGCCGGAGGCGAGGGCAGGCTGCTTCTCATGCAGCTACGGCAGGAGAAGATGCACAATCCATTTCACGACTGCCCTGAGTCAGCAAGCCCTCACTACACATGGGAGACTTTTTTTTTTTTTAAAGGGAAGGGAATGTTTTCTTCAATGGTCACATCAGCACTTAGAGAAAAGTGAAATTTAGTCAAAAGAGCCCATCCCCTCTTCAAAATGCGATTTCAGTTTCCCTCCCACTCCATGTAGACGATCGTGGCTGAGAAAACAACACAAAACGTTTAAATGACAGGGCAGGACCGGTGGTGCCCTCGAGGCCGCTGTGCCCGAGAGCCAGCATCGTGGGGACATGGCTCAGATCCCACGATTCACAGGTCAAAATGCGCCATGTATGCCTGTCTGAGAGGCTGTGGCCCCTGCTGCACCGAGAACTGCCCATTCCCATGCGCCCAGCATGAGCATGGAACCTGGATCACACTGCTGCAGTGACCACGGGACGGTGGGCCCTGAAGCCGGCACGGGCCAAGCATCTGCTTGGGCTGCCGAGGAAGACGGCTCGCCTCAGGCCCCCGCCTCACAGGGGACATGGGCAGGCCAACGGGAGCAGGGGTCCACCGGCCTGAGAGAGGGGCCCCCTCTGATTACGAGCACCCTGCTCTCAATCACCTGACCCTCAAAATAAGTAACAGACTCCAAATCAGAATTTCCAAAATTTCTGTAGTTTTAAACAACTGAAAATTCCCAAAAACCAAGACAAAAAAAGTCACGCAAAAAACAAAAGTAAACCAAACTGTCCTTATTTCTAACTTCCTCAAATTGTTAAAATACAGGCGAGCTGTGAGAATGCCAAGTGTGACTTACTCTTAAAGGCAATGGGATACATGTACCTCCATGGCTGATTTATGTCAATGTATGACAAAACCCACTGCAATGTTGTGAAGTAATTACCCTCCAACTAAAATAAATGAAAAAAAAAAAAATAAAGGCAATGGGGACTCTACTTCAAACAGCCCCCATGAAGGCACTTTAACCCACATGGCCTGTCTTCTGAACTGGGTCACCCTGACCTGAAGGTGACTGCCCCCCACAAACACCTCCAAATGGATCACGGGAGGCCCTTGCCATCGGGAGACCCCTCAGACTCCCCCTACCCCGACCCTTGCACCCACAGTCATGGACCCCTCTTCTCTGACCCACTTTGATCCCTTCTGAATCCTCCTCCTCAATCCTTCATCATCTGCTACACTGAACACGAACACAGGGGTAGCCAGGCAGCGCCGTTCCTTCAGCCTCATACCCAAGATAACATGTCAAAATGTTTCTGAGAAAAAGTAATTTGTTGCTTAGAGCAGCTCAGAATATAAATAACTCATAAAGAATCTGGTTTTACAGGGGGAAGACTCTTCCATAGATGGAGTAAGAGTGCCCATGGAGACATTTCTGAGCTTTTCTTTTCACAGTCGCTGCGGAACCCAGAGCAAAAAACTGGAATGCGCAGAGTGTCAAGGAGGTCAAATTTAAACATATTTTCCCAAACTACAAATATTTTTAGTAGCAATACATTCCATTTGAGAGCTTTTAGCTGCCTAATGTGAACTGGCAACGAGCCCGCATGCTTCTTCCTGGGATGGTGGTTTCTAAGTCTGAAACCCGCCGAGAGATAAAGCAATAGAAGATAGTAAGACTTCTCATTTAACAAACATTAGGGCATGTGGTAATCATTCTTTGTTTTATCCACGAGCCCTATCTAGGAAGAGAATTGAGAAGAGGGGGAAAAAACTGTTTAACGTGAGTTTTGTTTTTACTTTCCTCACTTTAGGAGAAAAAGTCAAACAAGTCGTCAGCTCAGAGTAAAAGGACATAAACATGTGAAAGCACACTGACTCCGGCGGCAGCACCCCTGTGACCCTGGCTTCCCAGGCTCTGCAAGCTGCCGGGGAGAGGTTTCACAGGATGTGACTTCACGTCTAAGGTATTTTCATGGAGAGCAAGAAAGAGGTCTGACAGCTTCTTCGTTTCCATCATGAAGCGGAGATACTAAAGCAAATCTCCAGCGCAAGCTTTTGGGTGGACGGGGCGACCGGTCCTGAGGAGCTGACCAGCTGCTGCCACCGTCCCAGCAGAAGGGACAGAGCTGGGAGCTGGGTAACCACAGGCAGCCAGGCCGTCTCAACCTGTGTCCTTGTGCGTAAGGCACAACGACACACTGCCCGTCCCGTTCACTGTTAGGACGGAGAAACAAAGGAGGGGAGGGAAGCAGTAGGACATTTCGGTAAATGCTAACTAGTTCTGTGCTTTTACATGTCTTGGGTTTTTTTTTTAATCTATTTCATTTCTGCAGCGTTTTTCCTGATAGCAATTATACTGCTATTCTTTCCTTTGAAACCATATTTCTTCTATGCTTAAATAACTTAAAAAAAAAAAAAAAAGATTGGACTTTGATCACCTAACATAATGATTTTATGATGGCATCACAAAATTTGCTTTGGATAGAAAATCAGTCTGGATTCATAGCTACTTAGGCTAATCTGGAAAATACCCAGGGAAAGAGCAGCAAGAAAGAAACTGGATGAAGGAAAAAAAAAATAATAATAAAAGCCAAGAGGGAAATGGCTTGTTTTAGCAAGTTCATGGGAATACCAGTTTTGAAACATGATCTCTTATAATTACCCAACACTGCCTCACCACAAAGGAATGGAATTGACCTTTCAACAAGCACTCCCCCCCACCCCCGCCCAGGGATCTTTGCAGAAAACAAGTCTGGAGGCCTGAGATGAGGCTGGGAGGGTGTCTCTGCAGCCGCAGTAACCTCAGTGCTGCAGCACGGGGTTCTCCCCTCCTCTTATAAACACACACAGCAGACCCAGCATCTCGTTTCATGAACACAAAATCTGCATTTCTCTCTACTTACTATGTGTCTCAAACTTCAGGAAGTTATGCACTTCTGCTGGGCTACGGTGTCACACATCTCAAAATTATTTTTAAAAGTTACTTCTACTAAAATCTTACTTAAAAAGGGTGACCTCTTTGGTATTTTGGGCAAGTTGGAGAAGCTCCTATGTGACCCCTCCTCTTGCAGAGACTAGGACAGAAGAGACAGCCTAGACAACAACTAGGACCTGAGGCAGCACTGAGCAGTCAGGCTCTGGGGGGAGGGACGCTAGGACGAAAGAATGGCACTGGGCGAGGTCCCACTTTAATGGCCACTGGCCAAAAAGCTGGCCGCCATCCTACTGGTTTGAAGAACCAGAGGACTGAGTCTGGCTCACCACAGCTGGTGGAAAATGAACGGGGAAATGCCAGGAAAGAAGAGAGCCAGGGAGGGGGTACTTCAAATTCTAAGAATAAATTCTGCCTGAATCACGTGCTGACCCCTGTATCATGAACATATAGGGCAGGCTCCAGGCGGCCCAGCTGAGACTGAACTCAGCTGAATCGAGCCCGGAACTCATAGAATGGAGAGAGCTTGCAATTGAGACCTGCGTAGTTAGCTGCCTGCTAAGTCAACCAACCAAGCAGTCTTCAGAGGAATGACATTGAATCCAGAGTTGCCACAATTTGTCAGCCACAAGTCTAGGGCATAATCTAAAACCACCTGATACACAAACAAACACTAAAATGTAATCCAGTCTCAAGAGGAAAAGAAATCTAAAGGAAGCTGACTCCAATGGTGACTCAGAAATTGGAATTAGCAAGCAAGGACTTCAAAGAGCTGTTATTTTCAAGGACATATAGGAAAATTCATTCATAGTTAATGAAAAGATAGGAAATGTCAACAGAGAAATAGAACTATAAGAAAGAGTCAAATGAGAATTCCATAACTAAAACCAGAATATCTGAAATAAAATCTCCATGGGACTGGGTGATCAGTAGGATGGAGATGAGAGAACAGTCAGGGAGACTAAGGACAAAACTTCTCCAGTCTGAGGAACCTAGAGAAAAAAGATTGGGAAAGAGAGAAAGAACAGAGCTGGACTCTGTTGAAGGACGCTATCAAAAGATTTAACATGCAGAGAATGGGAGTTTTTAAAAGTAGAGAGAAAACAGAGCTGAAAAAAACAGCTGCAGAAATGACACACATTCACAGACTCAAGAGACTCCGTGAAGCCGAACACAGTGAACAAACCACAGCCAAGCACATCCCAGTTACACACTGCTGAAAGCCAAAGATAAAGAGCAGGCCACGGAAGTAGCCAGAAAAAATGACACACGACACAAGACGAAGAATAATTTGAAAGGCCAGTGACTTCTCCTTGGAAGATAGTGAAAGAAAGCTTTAAGGTGCTGAAAGGAAAAAAAAAGGAAA